AAAAACAGTCAGTACAACTCAGTAAATAATGCAGCTCTTTATGTAATACATATAAATGTCAATTAGATTTATTTATTTACTTGTTTATTTGACATGGACAAATGCATGAAACATTGCTAAATGTATGAAATATAAAGCAGATGAAATGCATACAGGTATCTAGCCATGGCTAATTTTCAACTCCGGTCCCTGGCTCAGGCTTTTAGAATTAAAATGGTAAGTGTAAGATTACTGAACGGAGTAATTCAATACAGTAATACAACACAACAGTTAAATACAGGCAATGACTAAGTCAAAGAGGAGACCACAATAAGAACAGAGATAAAAAACAAAACAAAAAAACAATGACTATGGTGTTGTTGTTGTTGTTGTTGTTGTTGTGATTTAAATCTACACGAGAAAAAAAAGAAAAGAGTTTGGTCACAATAATCATCTCCTTAAGGCCCGAACATACTCGGGTGTACTATAAGCAGAACGGACTCCGCGAGGAATGTCCGCAGTCATTCGGGCTTCCATAGTCGAGCGCACTTCCGCGCTGTAGTTTCCTGTAAAAATGTCCGTGAAAAATCCCCGCAATGTGAAAAATACATGCCGAGCAGTCACTGGTGCGTGGAGCGGAGTCCGCGCGGTCGTAAAATCTGAGCTTTGCGCGCACAGGCCTTGCGGATGTCCGCTTTGAGTCTGCGCGGACCTCCGTGGAGTCCGTTCTGCGTATATGTTCCGCCCGAGTATGTTCGGGCCTTTACAGTGATCTATTTCAGCTGTACAGACATTATCACTATAATTGGTTTCCACTGTATATCTACAGATGCCTTTTGTTCAAGAAGGTTCAAATTAAAGTTGTCATTTATATTAACTATTATTAACTAATAACTATTATGCATTGGAACATAGATGGAGTCATACAGTTGGACAAAGTTATATTTTTCCTATAATTCACAACACAGGTAGTAAAGACGATACAGGCCAATAATTAAAGGCCTAGTCTAGGATTTAGTATTTGGGCATCTAGTGGTGAGATTGAGAACTGAAACTTGTCAAGCATGCAGAGGCCTGTACTACGAAGCAGGATTTGGCGTTAGCGAGGTAACTTTGGGGTTAACTTTGGGTTTTCAGTACTACGAAGCTGGTTCTTTATTTACTGGGATAAATCACTGTGGCAATTTATGCTGAACGGCTAACCTGCTCCGGAGCAGGTTAACTTCAGGTTATCAGATCACAGCCTGACAACATCCCGACCTCTGACCAATCAGATCACTGAGAAAAAAAGTATCCATGAATGAAAGTCTAGAGTGACAGGTAAAAAAGAGGAGCCTATATGTTGTTATAGGTCTTTAGAATAATTTAATATTTCCAGGTCTCTATTTCCACTGGTTTTAAAATAAAGCTTCTAACAAATAGAGAGATGATTTACAACACTAAACACATGATTTTAGCAGGATTTGAAATTATTAAGTTTATTTCAGTCCACAGTGATGGCAGACAGTGGTGCTACTTTTACACTCTGATTCCATCACTGCAGCTCAAAATAACATGAGGCACGTGTGATGAGAACTAGGATAAAACAGATATTTTAATAGTCAAATAATCCACGCACTGTTAATTGGCTCCCATTATTATAAATGTAACATTTTGGTCAGATACACCTCATTAGTCATTAACTACTTTTCCCCTTTTTACATGAGCAGGCTCGTGGCTGGATAGGAAAACCCAGAGCTGACTGAGCTAGTTGATAAACAGCTTCGTAGTACCAGTTATCCAGACGGCCAATGTTAGGGTTAGTCAAACCAGATAGTGAGAAGATATCCTGGGTAAGTTGAACTGGCTTCGTAGTACAGGCCTCAGGAGAACTACGGAAGCCGATACAAAAATGTTAATGGTTCTATCTAGAGTCAGTGTTTGTGAACAGTGGTTTGTGCATTCTGTGCTACTGTAGAAACAACATGAGAACTCCATGGATGAGACAAGTTTTGTATGTAGATATAAATGGGTTATTCTTAAGGTAAAGAAAACACAATTATTTCTCATTTTTAGGTGATTAAAACCTGATGAAAACATAATTAATAATATTATATTCAAATTCTGCCAATAGATTCCCCTAAATCCTACATAGTGGAGCTGAAGTGAAAAAATATATCTTGTCTGTAAATACACTTGACATTTTTTAACTAAAGGAAATCTAAATCTGACAGTTGTTAATTTCAATTTGTTTTGTATTTCAGCTCTATGTTGGTATATCTCAAATATTATTTCTCCACTGAAACATGTAGACTATGTACTTCCTGGAAGAGTTACAGTGAGGGAAATAATTATTTGATCTCCTGATGATGTAAGTTTGCCTCCTGACAAAGAAATGATCAGTCTAAAATTTTAATGGTAGGTTTATTTTAACAGTGAGAGACAGATAATCAACAAAAAATCTAGAAAAACACATTGGAAAAAAAATATAAATTGATTTGCATTTGCTAAAGTGAAAGAAGTATTTGATCCCCTATCAACCAACAAGATTTCTGGCTCCCATAGACTGGTTATGTGTCCACGAGGCACACAAATTAGTCCTCTCCCTTTAAGAGAGAAGCCTACTCCTAATCCCATCTTGTTACCTTTATAAAAGACACCTGTCCACAGCAGCAATCAATCAACACCATGGCCAAGACCAAAGAGCTGCCCAAAGACTTCAGGGACAAGATTGTAGGCCCGTACAAAGCTGTTGGTGCTATCATTCGCAAATGGAAGAAACATAAAATAACTGTCAATCTTTCTCGGCCTGGGGCTCCACACAAGATCTCACCCTGTGGGGTTTCAATGATCATGACAATGATGAGCAAACAGCCCAGAACTACCAAGAACGGCTTGTTAATGATCTCAAGGCAACTGGGACCACAGTCACCAAGAAATCCATTGGTAACACACTTCACCGTAATGGACTGAAATCCTGCAGCTCCCATTAGGTCCCCCGCTCCAGAAAGCACATGTACAGGCCCATCTGAAGTTTGCCAATGAACACTTGAATGATTCTGAGAAGGACTGGGAGAGGGTGTTGTGGTCAGATGAGACAAAAATCAAGCTCTTTGGCATAAACTCAACTCGCCGTGTTTGGAGGGGAAGGAATGCTGACTATGACCCCAAGAACACCATCACCACTGTCAAGCATGGAGGTGGATGCATTATGCTTTGAGGGTGTTTCTCTGCTAAGGGGACAGGAAAACTTCACCACATCAAAGGGAAGAGGGACGGGGTTATGTACTGTGACATCTTGGGTGACAACCTCAAAGGGTTGTGGATGGGTATTCCATCATGACAATGACCCAAAACACACAGCCAAGGCAACAAAGGAGTGGCTCAAGAAGAAGCACATTAAGGTCCTGGAGTGGCCAGTGTCAGGACCTTAATCCCATTGAAAATCTGTGGAGGGAGCTGAAGCTTCGAGTTGCCATACGTCTTGAAACCTTAATGATTTGGAGATGATCTGCAAAGAGGAGTGGACCAAAATCCCTCCTTAAATGTGTGCAAACTTGGTGGCCAACTACAAGAAACATCTGACCTCTGTGATTGCCAAAGGGTTCTGCCACCAGGTGCTAAGTCTTGTTTTGCTAAGGGATCAAATACTATTTTCACTCGACTTCTAACTTTTTTCCAATGTGGTTTTTTTTTTGGATTTTTTTGTTAATTATCTGCCTCTCGCTGTTAAAATAAACCTACCATTAAAATTATAGACTGATCAATTCTTTGTCAGTGGGCAAACTTGCAACATCATCACGGGATCAAATAATTATTTCCCTCACTGTAAGTACCTATATCTTTAAGCATTTATCCAAAAATATCTATTGTTGTGAAAGTAATTTGGCTGCTTTTTTCATCTTAAACTGAATATCTTTCTGGTTTTGGCTCTCTACAACTAAAGCTACGGTATTATGACATCACCAAGCAATTCAACTATTAATCTGGAAAATAATCAGCCACTTAATTGATCATGAAAAGTTGTTAGTTGTCGTTAGTTGCAGCCCGTAAATTGTCCATGTGTGGGATGTTAAATCATCATTACTAGAGAATTATATTGATTGAAGTGCACGTGTGTGCAATTAGAAATTCCTGAAAAACACTGAAAAGTAAAAACATGAACATGAATGAAGAAAAAATGTCAGTGAACAGGGATTCCAGTTGTCGACTGGTTTCAGAGATGGCCCTTTTTAAATAGGAATTGTGCAAATTTGCAGGAAAGCCCAATCTTCTTTCAGCATTGGCAGTATAAAAAAAAATTGGGGAGTGCAGCAAAATGGCACCTGCCTATTTTTGTTCATACAGAATGTGCCTTTTTCGGGGCAATGGGGGGCATGAACAAGTAACAAAACATGTAGCTCAGCGTGTGACGTAAATAGTGATGTACTCAGAGGGAAGTCGGCCCGTCCTTCACCGTCCCTTCATTCTTCATTTGCAAGGACAAGGAGGGCGCGCAATTCTTTGTCTCCCCAGTTGCTCATCTTTACTGTAGTGTCTGTCAGGTTTGCGTTTCCCTCTTGCTGCTAGTACTAGCTGCTCATTCCTGCTATCAGCTGTTTCCTGTTAGTCCACTGTCAGTGTGTCGCACTTGCAGCGTCATCAACAGCTCCTCCCACAAGTTATTAACAGGCGGAAGGGCGCCTCATTCTTTTTAAACCAAAAAGGTTCCGCCAATATGTTTACCCCTACGTGGTGGAAAATTGGGCACCTCGGATCAACTCGCCAATCAGGTTCTGTGTGTCTAAACGCTCGCAGCTTGCCGGCAAAACGGCCCAACATTCGCCGAAAATCTGGCAGTGTAAAAGGGGCTAGAGACTCAGTCAGTGAACCAGTGGTTGAATGAGTTCAGTCCAGTACTCCAGTTCATGTTTTCCTCCCCTCACTCTCTGCTGGGGTGATTACTCTGCTTTACTCCAGCCCAGCTTGTTCTCCAGAGAGACTCACACACACTCCTAAACACACGTTCATACACACACACACGCAGACTCAGAGTGCCAGTGGTAAGGCATGCTGGTGCTGGTGCTCACTGTCAGCAGCTAACTTGGAGCGGCTGGATGGAGTGTTACAGTGTGCTGGACTGAGAGCATGTTGACTGACAGTATTGTTCTACACTGACTAGAAACTTAAGCAACAATGGAATTTGGAAGAGTTTGGTCCAGATATCAGAGGACACTGCTGATCACCATGATGATGTTCAAACTGGGTAAGGCTTAATTCAACACATGCAGTTAATACTAGTGCAGAAATGTAAACACATCACTCATGGGAACTTTGAGACAGTTTTAAGGGAGAAACAAACAATTCACAATCCATCCACAGTTGTAGCTGCAGCCCTTGCTTGTGTGTGGAGTGGAAAACATCTGCTGCCTTGTTTATCTTTAGAATCAGACTCACGTATTGATATGTGTGCTTAGAGCCACAGTAGGACCATCTTGGAGATGTAAATATAGTTTGATCATCCTTTATTTTATTGCTTTGTACCTACAAATAATTTAAGAGTCATTTCCAAGTGGAGCCATGTAATTCTAAATCTAGGGCAATATTAACAATGTTCAATTGAAACACTTTGCATCAATATTCTCTAATCAATTGCATGTGTAATGTGATGGATCTTTTAGTTAGTGCACAGCACTATCTCACATCTGAACATACAAAAAAATGAAATCTGTCAGCACATATGGAAAAAAATACATGATAAATAAATTATAAATGAACTATAAAAGGCATATTTTACCTGTAATTAGTTCCCAAATACAAAATTCTTCCCAGGACACTTTCTAGAAAATGATAAGGAAATTATGGACCCATACAGTAAAACAAGACAGGTGGTTTTCTTAATCATTAAAAGCAGCAAAGCTTACTGTTAACTGCAAAGCATAGCATAATCATCATCATGTTATTTTGTATATACTATATTGTTATCATAACAGTGTGATGGAACCCAGTGATGTAATCAATGAGTCATTTATTTATGAAGTGATTTCTAAAGATGTGTGTGTGTTATGTGTAGGACGGTCTTATAGACATATCACTACATTACAGCTTCTTGGTTGACTCCACCACTTTATGAAACCTGTTGACCCATTTTTCCCGCGACCTTCATTTGTGTGAAGCGTCCGAAGCTTGTTTAAACTGGCAAACCAGCCGCAGGGATTGGTTGAGGGTGGCATTGTTGGAGATCACCATGGTAATGAGCTGAGCGTCCGAATGCACTACTACACAGCTTTTTTGTCTTAGCTTTGAATGGAAGGAGTGATGGGTATTAGGGAGCATGGCAAGAGATCTGGCACTCTGAGCTCTTAAGGATTAAAAAAAAGATAGCAGAAGCAGAGCACATGGGATGGTGAAGATGAGTATAACATAGATTTTAAGGTGCAGGGTTTGCCTACTATATTCAAGACTTTATTATAAAGAAAAGTACACAAAAGAACATCCATAGCATTTACCAACTAACTGACTGAGAAGAAACAGGGATTTCAGTGGAAAATTTCCCCAAACTGCAGAACTGTTAGCTTGAATGAAATTAAGCCTGAACAATAGCAGTTTTAGGAAAGAGAAAAGGCACCACAAGAACCATCTTTAAGTCTGAAAATCATAGGGAGGAGCCAGCTGATAAATAACTGCTTAGAACTAGACAAAAACATTGTGTTAAAAATGATGCAGTCTTTAGTCTTTGCTCAGACAGGACACAAAAGGATGTGCGCCTCTGACTGTGTAACTGTGACTGATTCAGAGAGGATTTGCGCATTTCTTTGTATAAAGCAAAGCAGCCACCTGCTGTGGAGCCTTTGGAGCACAAAGATGAATTCAGGCAGAGCTGCTAGACTCTTGTGGTGATTCAATAAAATTCCTCTTAGCCCAACTTGTGCATTAAGCAGGGGCTTCCCTTTCTCAGTGATTCATAGCGTTGCCGCGTCCTCTGCCCTGCAGTGAGACTCTATGTTGACTTTGTGTTGCTGTTTTTGTGACTCAGGGTAAACACTTTCTCTCACTCTCCCCCTGCATTTAGCATCTGCCAGGGGTGAAAAGAGTCATATCTCATTTAAGAATGTCTTTGTCTCATCAGACATGGTACTTTAGACTTGCACAGGTCCTTAAAAACTCTGAAAAAGTTAAATTTGTTCTTAACAACATACAGTATGTTATTTCAGTGCAACATATTTTCAATGCCATTGACTCGGTTTCTTACACAGATTCTTGCCAGAAACACAAATTTGTGCACTATGCACTTTGGGAGGTTATTCTGGTTAAGTTTATATTCAGTTTTGCACAGGGTGTTCCTAACTTTAAAAAATTAAATTAAATTGAATTAAAATTAAAAAAAAAAAAAAAGACTATTTTTTTTACTTAGGTTTTGACATATTTCTTTTTGTCAGTAGGGGTATAGCACCAACTTCTGGGCCCAGTGCATAAGCAGTCTTTATGTTATGTTATATGTTTGCTCCAGAAATCATAAGAAAGATGTCACAGTGCATCTTTGTTAGGCTCTGGTGTGGGCGTGTTGCTAGTGGAATGTCAGTGGGAATACACTCTAGACGGTATATTCTGTCAGTACTGTGTATCCATGTTCCTGCCTCTTTTTCAAATTGTCATACGTGTTTGGTGTCAAATGTAAAAACAAAACAAAGAAACTCACAATTTTTCATACAAACAAGGATAATGTGACAGTTTTAAATTTTGTATAACAAACTGTAAATGTCCTGTAATAATATTTGGTTTAATTTTCCTCAACCTTGGTAATTGCTTGGTCTGTTCATTCTTAGCTGAACAGCTTTCATTTGAAAACAAGTTTGGTATTTTTTTGCTTTTCAACTTGGCTTTAAGATTCATTTTATGGAAACAGCATTGCATATTAATCGAAGCTTTGCATAAGAAGAAGAAGAAACTCTCTGGTCTCTGGCAGGCAGTTTGATTCTGACATCATTCTGCCTACAAACAGTCAGTGGCTCTGCTCAGTGTTATTGTTGAAGTGAGATGCTGGTACCAGTCAGTGTCAGGGATCTACCCCGTCTGGCCATAACCATGATCTATGAAGGGGGGGGGGGGCTGTTATCAACTCTCTGGAATGTGTGAAGGGTTGATTGGGTTTGAGAGGTCTCCCTGTCAGCCTTCATGGGATTACAGGTAGCGCAGGTTAAAGTACATGGTTCTGACTGAGTTAGCTTTACATGACAGTCCACGGAAAGATCCTGCCTCTATTTGAAAAAGGGAGGTGAAAGAGAACAATGAGAAAAAGTAAAAGATGATCTCAGTACAAGTGAAAGCCAATAGAGGGAGGTAAAAGAGGGAGGTGATGCAAGACTGAGGAAATGACACTTCTGAAGATGAGAAAGGAGGGAGAAACATTCAGCCACATTTAGCATAAATGCTGGGTCAGTTTACACATTCTGTAGCATTTGTCTCACCTTGTCAAAAATGACTGAATGATTGACAACGATTGAGGGCTTTACTGCATTAACATCCTTTATGGACAAAAGGTTCTTATCAGTGTGTACTCTTGTGGTTCCTAGACAAAATGCAATGTTATTGTCCAATCCATGATCACATGTTCACAATTCCATGACCATTCTCTGTGGTGCAGTGCCATATGCTTTACAGTTACATGTATAAAAAGCAACATTTATATTCAGCAGCAGGGATGTAATCTGTTATACTGAGAAACAGTTAGCTATGATTAGTGACGTGTTGGCAAGTAATTTAAATGTATCCCATCCTTTAAAATAATTATAATAATAAACTTCATTTATTTACTTTCATACAAGAAATGCAGCACAAAGCATGAAAACGTGAATTAACTGATTCATAAAATCATAGAGTTGGAAAACTATAAATCATAAAATCAAGAAAAAAGTTAAGAGTTGCCGCAGTGTGAAGCGTAAATAAAAAGTAAAAGCGTAAAAAGAAAAAGTTTCAGACCTATGACCTAAGACCTAAAAGTCAGAGCTAGGCTACTTAAAGCTCCAGTAGGCAACATTGTTTTGGTATAATTGAGTAAAAATTTTATAATATCCTCTAAGCATAATGTAAATCATGTGGTCTGAGACAAACAATAGGTTTCTGCACCTCACCATGGCTCTGTGTTCAGCCTCTAAAGAATCAGTATTGTGCTGATGTGCATCAACCAATCAAAGGTCAGCTCAGACCACTGCGTTCCTATTGGCTGTTCTACTGCATATGCGCGTTCCCGTGCCGCCGGCAGAAGGAGAGAGCAAGCGGCAATGGCGAACAGTGCACCAGGTAAAATAGCTATTCCAGCACAGCAACTGCCTACATGGCTAAACAACCCAAAAAAAGGAAGACAGAACTCGGTTCCCCAGAGCCCCGGAGGGAGGGGAAGGGTGTGGTGGGGCCGGGCCCGGCCAGAGGGCGCGAGGATCGGCCGTGGGAGCGGAGCCGAGGGCTCTCCACGGAGAGGGAGAGCCAAGCCTTGGAGGTATGTGCGGGGCGGGCTGCTGCGCAGTGAGGGAGAGCCGAGGCTTTGGAGTGTGTGCGGGTCCGCAAGGGAGGGATGGGGAGGGCTGCTGTGCGGAGAGGGAGAGCCGAGCCTCCGGGGTATATGTGCGGGGCCGTGAGGGAGGGATGGGGCGGGCTGCTGCGCGGTGAGGGAGAGCCGAGGCTCCCAGAGAGGGAGAAATAGAACCAAGTAGGATAAAATACTTGCATGCTCGTCTGGTAGGAGGGGCTCAGGGCGGAGACGAACGAAATCTAACTCAGATGAGACTCCGTTTTCAGGCTTTCTACCTTCTGCAGCTTTAAAGGCTAAAGTGAACAGATACGTTTTTAGCCTTTTTTAAGAAAATATTAAGGAAGCTAGCTTACCTGATATCTATAGGTGGTCTGTTCCGTGGCTTTGGGACATAACTGACAAAGGCTGCATCCCTGATCTTTGGACTGTTGCTGAGAACCTTCAGTAAACTAGCAGCAGATGATCGCAGTGTTCTTGGAGGCAAATAGTTGACAAGGCAGTTAGCAATGTAGCCTGGTCCCAGCTCATGTAAGGCTTTGTATACAAGGAGGAGGACCTTGAAATCAATTCTAAATGTAACAGGAAGCCAGTGCAGAGCAGCTAAGACTGGTCTGATGTGCTCTTTCCTCTTGGTTCTGGTTAATAGCCGAGCTGCAGTCTCTCAGTGATGTTTTTTGGAAGGCCAGTACAAAGTGCATTACAGTAGTCGAGGCAGCTTGAAATAAAGGCATGACTCA